ACATAGGCATTACATCCATGACAAGTAGACCGACTCCTTCATGCATCTACTACTGTTACTCCACTTCTAGAACGCTTCTATGCTTGCCTCTCTATGTATTAAGTTCATGACAAATAGAGTAATGCATGAAGTATGGCAACATAATGTAGATATAATAAAATCAAGTAATATGATTAAACCCCGTTGTTTTCTCCTTAATAGAAAAAATACAAATACGTGCCTCGCTACCCCTTCTGTCACTGGGTGAGGACATCGCAAGATTGAACCTACTACCATGCACCACTCCCGTTGAAGACAAATCAATCTAGTTGGCCAAACCAAACTGATAGATCGGAGAGCATTACATAGCTATAACAATCATACATAATAAAGTTTAGAAAAAGACTCAATTACTTCCAGTGAATAACTGATTATAAACTCACAATTCATTGGATCCCAATAAACACACTACAAAAGAAGATTATATCGAATAGAACTCCGAGGAAAACATTGTATTGAAGATCAGAGAGAGAGCCATCTAGCTAATCACTATGGACTCATAGGTCTTGTAGGAACTACTCACACATCATCGAAGGTGTAGCAAAGTTGATGTAGAAGCCCTCCATGATCAATTCCCCATCCGACAGAGTACCGTCGAAGGCCTCCATATGTGATCACGGAAGAATAGAGACTCACGGTGGCGAAAAAAATGTTTCAGTGGTGCCTTCGAGGGTTTCCCAATATTGGAGAATTTATAGCGTTGGAATTAGATCAAACGGAGCCACGGGGGCCCCACAAGGCAACAGGGCGCGCTCTGTTGTCTTGCCGTCTCCTCGTTTCTTGTCTGGACTCCTCCCGAAACTTCCAAGGTCTCTTTTGGTCCAGAAAAAATCATCAAAAAGTTTTGTCATGTTTGGACTCCTTCGGTATGGATTTTCTGTAAAACCAAAAACAAGAAGAAAACAACAACTGGCACTAGGCACTAGGTTAATAGATTACTTCCTAATAATAATATAAAATTGCATATAAAGTATATAAAATTGATAATATAATAGCATGAAACAATAAAATAAATTATAGATACATAGAAGATGTATCAGCCGTCCACAACTGGAACATGAATACAAAGCAAACACCAACAATATCCATCTCACTTTCCATATATTTAAACCAGCGCATTCAACCACTTCTCAGAACATCAAATGGTGTGAACCACGATCCCCTTATTCAAAAGAGGGAAGATAAGAGCCCCCCATTTCATACCCTAGCCCGGCCCTGCCCAATCCAACCCAACCTAACCGAGGCAAAACCCCCTTAGCTCCAGCACCACAACAGGCCAGGCTGGGCTGCCCATACCTCACACAACCCACTCCAGGGGTCCAAAGCTAACCAACCCACACTAGGAAGTCATGATTCTCCTCGTTAAAAGTGTCAATTTTAGGAACAACATGCTTGATAATACATGACATGCATAATCAATACATCTACACCAAAGGCAAAAATTTACCAGAATGCATTGCCTCTACATTGTCGATATTCATTACGACACATGTCGAAATGCATTAGATATGGAAATGGATAACTTCAGTTACAATAGAAAAGCAAATACAAAGTAGGTACCAATGATATTCATCCTACTTTCCCTGAACTTAAACTACTCCATTCAACCAAGACAAGTGCCCATCATTACATACCTTAACCCGACCCCCAAAATCCTCAGAACTGTGCATGCCCAACCAAGGATCCAATAACCATCACTTACTAGTAGAATTTTAAAAAAAACTTCCAGTTATTGCGAAAACACCAATTTTGAAGTCATATTTGTCCTCTATTAGTGGGGATGAACAACATGCTTGGTAATACACGTCCACATATAATCGATACATGCATGCCAAAAGCGGAAACCAATCAAACATGAACATGCATTGGCTTTACCTTGATGGTATTCATCACAACACAAGTTGGATCACCTCGGATATAGAACTGATTAACGAACATGAGCATGCATATGTAGCCATAATTCTCATGAAAAGTGTCGGCCTTGGGAATCCGCTTGCTCGATAGTATATGATCATGCACAATCAATATATGCATTTCAAAGGTGAAAACCTACGGAAATGCGCCTTCCCTACCTTGTCGGTACACATTAAAACACAAGTCGGGATACCTGGATATGGAAATGGATAACCCTGGCCACAAATGGGACGTAAATCCAACGTAGACACCAACAATATCCATCGTACTTCCCATAGATTCAAACTAGCAGATTCAATCAATTATCAAAAGCACAAAAATGACGGGAACCACCATTCTCTTATTCAGAAAGGAGAAGACAAGCGGCCCATTTCAGACCATATCTCGACCCTGCCCAACCCAACCCAACTCACAGCCCACAGCCCACAGGGCCCGACCCGACCCAGCCCAACATCCTCAAAACTGCGCATGCCCAACCAATGACCCAAATATTACCATCATTTACTGATAGAATTAAAAAAAATACTTCTAGTTACTCCGAAAAGACCAATTTTGAAAGTCATATTGTCCTCTATTAGTGGGGATGGACAACATGCTTGCCAATACATGTCCACGGATAATCGACACATGCATGCCAAAAGCGGAAACCAATCAAACATGAACATGCATCGGCTTTATCTTGAAGGTATTCATCACAACACAAGTTGAACCACATCAGATATATAACCGATTAACGAACACGAGCATGCATATGTAGTCATATAATTCTCCTCATGAAAAGTGTCGACCTTGGGAATTAGCATGCTCGACATTGTATGATCGTGCACAATCAATACATGCATGTCAAAGTAAAGACACTTTGACTTTGAGCAAAATTTATATGTGGACTAAAAAGGACCGGAGGGAGTACAAAGCAGATACCAACAACAATCCTTTGAGTTCCCATAGAATTAAACGAGCGCATTCAACCACCTCTCAAACCACAATTCTCATGTTAAAAAAAGGTGGAAGACAAGAGCCCCACATTTCACACCGAAGCTCAGCCCGGCCCGACCCAGGCAAATATCGGGCCGGGCCGGGCAGCCCGCAGCCCACGCAGCCCACACGAGGGGTCCAAATCTAAGCAGCATCCACGAGAAGATCCGAAAGCGAGCCCGTCGCCAGCATTAATTGATGGCCAGTTTTAAATCACCCACGTCCCCCAGAGCACCAGGATTTCCCATCCCGACAC